GCCGATGCCAGCTGGATCCAGGGGCAGGATTTCTGCTCCAAGGGCAGCTCCCCTGGCCCGGGCTCAGTGCCCATCCCATTAGTGTTAAGGGATCGCGRTGGCCTCGTGGTGGCCCCTGAGAGGTGCAAAGACGTCCTCTTCGGCAGGCACAAAGCACACGGATCCGTTTCTGTTTCAGAGCTGCCCTCCATTTCTCCWACTTATTCTGCTTCTGTTCCCACAGAATACGCTAATGGCATCCAGCTGCTGATTAACACATTTCATACCGACACCCAGAGACAGGAAATACAGGCCAGATGAGGAAAAGAACAGCTTAGACAATAGCCAAGCCGCATGAGAGGAATTCAGCGTCAGCRGGGCCAAGCCAAACGGGTGCTGGGGCCTTCGAGAAACCAGGGAAGAGGCTGCAAGACGGGAGAAGTCCCAGGGGGTCAGAGAGCCCGCGAGGGGCTCGGAGGAGMCACGTGGCAGCGAAGGTGCCCACCACGGGCTCGGGGAACCGGCGGGTCTGAGGGGCTCCCTTGTGCTGGACCTGGCAGCAAGGACGGTGCCCATGCAGCGCAAGGGGTTCGTGTCACCCAGGAAATCACCGCTGGGCAAGGGACCCCAGCGGGCCCCGGCTCCGCTCCTGAGAAGGGAAACGCTTAAAACGCTCTTCCATGCGAGACACAGGGGCTGGCACAGGCTGCTCCTCAAAGCCGCCCCTCGGAGGAGCCTTTTCATCCCCTCTGAAAGCTGCTCTTCTTTCGCAGCTCTGCGCMGAGATGGGGCTAAATAGAAATCTCCAGGCCATTATACTGCAGCRCGCCCGTCTTCCTGGCCGCGTTCATTATTAATAGCTCCCCATTAAATTTTAATAAATCAAATATCCAAGGTTTAAGTCTTGTTAGGAGCCTTTCCTCCCCTTTCTCTTCCAGGTCCGCTTGCTGCATGAGCTCATCGGCTGCCAGGCTGCTCATCTTGGTGAAGGCAGTTTCAGGCATTTTGCAGAAAGCAGCATGTTTATTTTCCAACTCTGCACACAAGCTCATACTACAACTGCTGTTTTGCTTGAGGTTGGTTATAAATAAACAAATCAAAAAGCAAAATAAAGCGTTAGGTAAATCAAGTTGCACTTCAGTTCACCTTATGTGAGTGGAGGGTGGGAAGCTGTTGCTTTGTTGGTTGATGTCGCAGGGAGTGTTGGGGCAGCCTGTTTGCGCAGGACTGTTGGTCCCCAAACGCAGGGGAAGCCCAGAAAACACACGGACAGGGTGCTTAAGCAGAAGTCCCTATAGGAGGAACATGTCTTGGGGTGAAAGCTATGCTCCCTCCTGGTGTGGGGACTTTTTAGGGCAGAAAAGGTTGAAAAGAGACAAGTTAACAGCTTTCCACTACCTACAGGGCCAGCAGGAAGAGGGGAGGAGCGAAAAAGGCTGCTGCCTTCTCAAGGCCTGGGGAGGGAGCGAGTGCCCAAGTGCTAAATCTCTCCCCCAGTCCAAGAGAAGAAGCAGGGGGGCCCTCCAGGGRCAGCCACGGCTCAGAGCAGAGGCTGCAGTGCAGTTATGGACTAGCACACACAAGGCAGAAGGATAAAGAAGCTGATGGGAGCTCGGCGTGCCACAGGAGGACAAGGCGCTGCCGCTGCTGCGTTGCTTTGCTCCAGGAGACGCTCCCGCCGGCCAAACCTGCCTTCCTTCCCTGAGATAAGGAGCGGGGCGATAGGAGGCAGCTCCTCGTGGTGCTGTGCGAGGCGCCTGACTCAGCGCAGGTGACAGAATGATGCACAGCTTCGCGCAGCTCGAGCCCACGGCGCCACGCTCACTAACCCACCTGCACCGGGAAGCTGCCCCCAATCTGCCTGTCCTGCATCCCACGGGATCCATTTCATGGTTTTCCCTAGGCTGTCCCTGGCCTCTCCCGCTCCATCCCGCCCAGGGGTAGCTCGACATGGAAACAGGCTCCCTAAAAATCAGGCTCCCTCACTCCTCCCCAGGGCGAGCAGAACAGATGATGGCAGCGCTGGAAGCTGCATTTGCTTTTACTTGTCCTCATTTCACTGAATTGCTAATTCTCTCCTCCTCCCACACTACAGAAAAAAAAAAAAAAAAAGAAAGAATTTTGTAAAGGAGGAGTTGACTCAATTCGCTCTCTACAGCGCATGACAGCAAAAGGCAGTTTTTAGCTTTGCATCTAAGCAAGCTTAGAATACTAGTGCATGGTTTTTCTTTTTTCCTTTTTCTCTTTTAAGTCTTCTTAGATCAGCTAAAACGTTATTCTGAAGAGAAGAGAGAATGAAGTCTTCGATGTCAATGAAGGTGGAAGAAGCAGGTGGAACAGTGCAAGTAAAATCCCTTTGCAAGGTGGTCACAGGAAGAAGTCATTTTAAAGTTATCAAGGGCTAAGTGCCTTGTTCTTTTCCAGCTCGAGAGAGTGAAGGGAAGACTGGCTTGAAGCATAAATGACACACACACAAACAAGGAAAAGTTCTGCAAAGCTTGAGTCCAGCTGGCATGGTTCTGTGCATTAGAAAAAAGGAAACACTTGGAAATCATAATCCCTGAGAAACTGGCAAATGAAAAATATGCCGAGACCTTAATTTTGTTGTGGCCAAAGGTGAGACAAATGCCCAGGCAAAGACAGCAGCAATGAATGCACATAAGGTGATGCTGGGTGCTGGTGGTAACGAATATCCAGGAGGAAGCCCTTCCCCAGCGATTGAGCTCTGCCCAAGTATGTGAACTAGTATTTCCCATCCGTCCTTCCCAGTGCAACACATGGGGCTCCTCAGGAGAAAGGCACATACAGGGGCTTTGAAGGGGGTGTCTTGTAGGAGACTTGTCTCCTAAAATGACACAAAACGGATGGYACTGGTATGAATTAAACTTATAACTCCAAAAGATCCCATTGCAGAAGCTCATGCCATAGCCGGTTATTATACACCACATAGACACGTCAGAGGAGGGAAATCCAAGAAGAWTAATGATTTAATTGGGTATAAAGCAAAGCCGCTGGGTGGCAAGCCCAAGACAAGCAAGAGGCATCTCACAGTGCACGTCCGAGCCGTGGGGCTCCTCACAGCCAGGGTTCCCAGCACGCAGAGCTGCTGCGCAGCTGCAGGAGGGGAAGGAAAGCCCCAGAATGAGCAGCCCCCGATCTAGGGCCAGCAGGAGACCCGGGCAGCGTTGCGAGCGCCGCTCCGTGTTGCTCCTCCCAGGTGCASCCTGATGTCACTGCTGGAAAGCCAAGGCCAGGCGGGGTGGCCCTCGCTCTGCCCAGGAGCGCGGTGCGGGTGTGAAGGTGGCACGCGCCGGCGGAGGCCGTGGGACACAGCTCTGCCCGCTGCCTCGCGCCCCTGCGCCCACCTGGCTTTAAGGCGGCTGCGGGTCCCGAGCTCCCTTCGGCCTGTGCTGCCCCACGGCCCCCGTTTCCGCAGCCAGCGCGGCGCAGGGCTGCTGGCAAGAGCTGCCGTGTGGGCACGGAGCTCCGCGCTGCCGAAGCGCCTGGCGCGGCGCTCCTGCTTACTCACCCGCCCCCGAGCGCACGGCGGGTGCACGGCCGCCTCCGCCACCCCGTGCCAACCCATGTCGCCCACCCACACTTCTGCAAGGCCCCGGGCCCCAGCCAGGGACCGCTGTCCACCCTTTGCTTTCTTTCGGGAAGGGGACAGGGCCAGAGGAGCAGCCAACGCTCCCTGGGGCTCCTACCCCGGTGCCTCCTCCCAGCTCAGCATGGGCCCATTGGATAGGGTTGGGAATGGGCATCTGCTCCCAGGTAACAGCAACGTGACCTAAGCAAGCCTGGAAGACAGTGCGTGGGAAGGCAACCAGTCCCACAGGAGCTTTATGTTCCCCAAACTCTCCACACACTCCCAGMACTGGAGCTGGGAAGTGTCTMTTCAGAATGCAGACAGAAGAAGCAAGAGCAGGGCCATTTGCGGGGAAAATTTGTGCTCCACAAATTTTGTGGATTTGTGGAGCACCCTCAAACCCAGGACCCGGGCTGGCTCACAAGGACCATGTCATCAAGCCTGCAAGTGTAGGAAGTCCCACAGAGGTGATTTAAAGATTCACCTCAGCCACAGGAATAGGTTCACCCAGCTTGGAGCCGCAGCAGCCGGGAGGCTGAGCTACCCACAGCCTTCCCAGGAAGGTCCCCAACACCCTCCCCGTCAAAACACTGCCGACCTGCTGCGAGTCACCAGGCCAAGCTCCTGCTCCGGCCGCTCGAGGCCTTCCATAGCCAGCTGCTGCGCTGCCTTTCAATCCATGCCACCTCCTACACCTGAAAAGCAAATCAGCCCATTAAATAACACACGTAAGAGCATCACACAACTGCACAGGCTGAATTCAAAAAGCTACTTYGAGATTTTCAGTTGTCTCTATGGAGCCTGGTTAAAAGAGGGAGCATTTCCACAATCTTCACAGAATTTTAGGGTTCAGGGAGCAGCCACGGGCCGTTTGCCCCTTGCACCATCACTGACCTTCCCTTTCGAGCCAGCCTCTGAGAGCAGGTTRAGGCCCCCGATCTGCTTCGCATCCCGTTACTGCAGGTACAAGGGGTGCGTTTAGGCCGGACACAGGTGGAACTGGAGACGTGTGAAGGGCAGCCGGGTTCCGTCCCGCACTAACACTCCCACTTCCACCAGGGATTTGGAACCAAGGGCCTCGACGCTTTACTGGGCTGCCGGAGTCCAAGGGAGCCTTTGACTTCTTGTTGGACATTCATTTCGTAGAGACCCTGTTTACTGAAGACCTGAAGCCCGGGTCGCTCGGAGAGGAAACGACAGTGAAAGCTCCTGCTCTTGGTTTGCACGTTCGACAGAAACGTCTCCCGGCCCACGAGCAGCTCTGTCGTGCTGCGGGACTGCGGGCGGGCCAGGCTCTGGCTCCATGTCACACAGCCCTCTCCAGCCAGGCTCCCCAGCTCTCGGGAACCACATCAGGAAAGCAACACACAGGCCCAGAACCTCTATTTTTGAAAAGTGTTTACTCACATAAGTTGAATAAATTAATTTGCAAATAAAAATTAAACTACAGTATAATATAGTCTGAATAAAATGATTAGAACAACTACAATACAGGGGGTTCTTGCTGCATAAGTTTCAGTACTTAATGCATATAATCCGGAAAATGTTAAAATCAGTTATATTTCTATGAAAAGGGAGTAACAGCAGTTACTTGTACGTGACAGCTAACTGAACTTATAATACAGGTTTCCTGACACATGCATTTCCTGAGTGAACCAAACAATATATATTAACTTTTTTTTTTTTTTTTTAATGGAGAAACAACTGACAGCCAAAGTAAATAATTCATGACATCTAAGCAACACAGGTCTCTCTAAACCAGGAGAAGTTTCAAACAGCTTTGAAAAGAAAAATTAAAGCTATGCTCTAAGTACAGAAATTTGCTACCGCCAATGATACAGTACATATCTGGGGAAAGAAAAACCCAACAATATGAGGCTGTCTAAGAAGTGTTCAACTGGATGCTAAAGCATCAGGTTGTGCATTTGCCATGGAGCACTTAGCAGCAGAGCTGGATGCAGCGCGCTGGCCGCGGGAGGCGGCAGGAGGGCACCGGGACCGTCTCGGTGGCGCTGCACGGGACGCGCTGCCCGAGGCCACCGCCGATGGGCACGTGTGGCCAAGCCCCCCTGGGCTGCCAGGGGCCCGGCAAGCGCAGAACACGTGGGGACGGGTCCCCTTTCTGGTGCCTCCTCTTCCCCCCTAGACCCGAGGAACAAATGAGCCTTTTCTTCCAGGTTCGCCACTGTTTAAGACTGAACCCCCCCTCAGAAACGTCACTAATGTTAAATAAAGACATGTGTTAGCATGAAGGGAGAAAAAACCCTTAATCTAGACTAAGTTGCATATTCAAGGAGTCTGGTAAATACTCTCTCATAACCAGATCTCAAGTACAGTCCTACCAAAAGACATTTTAACAAGTCCTTCTTCGCTACCTTCCACGTGGTTAAAGCACACCTTCCTGCCATCATAACTTGCATTAGCTTTGTTTCAAAAGCATTTTAGCTATTCTAAGAACTCGGTATTTTAGATTAAAAAAGATTTTTCTACCGTTTCTGTCTCATCTCCATCTCCATCCAGAACTACTCTACACATTCAGCTGTTGGATGCAACACACTATGACCATGCTACTCTAAATGTTCTAGGTATTTTCAATAATAAAGATAAATAGAAAAGAGTTAATATACATGTTATATTTTACAATGTTTGCATCCAAGCTGTAAACTAAGGTTCTTGGAACTATTTACCCTCCATATACAAAAAGAATGAAACAACTTTCAAACATCATGGGCACATAATTCAAAACCATTACACCGAAGGCATTGAATTTCGCTCGACGCTTCCTTCGCCTCTTCAGAAATGGTCGTTACCTACGGAAGCAAGAGGTCCTCCCCTTCCCCCCAACTCTTGTTTCCAGACATTTCTTGATAGAGAGGGATTTAGCTGTTTTAACAACCCCCCCCAAATTCTTCATCTTAATGCAAACCAGCAAAGCCCAGAGAATACGAAAGAGTTTAAAAGCCAGAATCGCGTAGCTTATCAGTTTACTGTAGTCCTTGCTGACACGTGTGTTAGTCAAGAGGTCCTTGGAAAATGAGTCTGATGTAGCCTTGCTCACCAGCCAGCTGATGTGCACAGAAGGGACAGGCCGCGTGAAACGTGTGAGTACCRTGAGGAAGAGGAATTTGGGACCAGTAGGCAGTTGTCTTTTCCGAGCACACATGTCCGCAGGGGCTGAACGCGTGAGTTGGAGGTCCCGCGTCCACATAAAATCCCGCTTCACAGCCCAGCCACAGAGGCACGTAGGGACCCACGGAGCGGCACATGGGGCACTCTCGATCCTTGCCATCTCTCTCCTCCTTGTTTCCCCAATTGTGATAGCCGTGGACGTGGCCACAATTCAGGTACACCCAGGGTTGCTTCTCATCTACGACATCTTTTCTCTTCATGCTGGGAAACGCCAAGGTGTTAAATCCCACGGGACACTGAGGTCTCGCTGCGTTGATTTCTTGCCTTAGAGCCTCCAGGTGTTTGACGGTGGGCGTGCGGGCAAGGCCTTCTGCCGTGCGCCACAGCAACGTTGCTCCGCAGAGGTCGATTAAAGAGCCATCTTGGAGCTGGTTCGTTTCGTTCTCCACCTTTCGAAGGACGTGGGGGAGGGAAAGAGCGAGAGGTCACCCAGTAGACACTTTAATGACAAGCACCTGCCTGGAAGGTCTGGACCAGAAGTAGGAAGCACCTACTGTGATGCTGAGTGTCCTGTACAACCCACCCCTACAAAACCCAGTCTCAGCTCCTCTCCCATTATTTTTTAAGTCTATTCTCTTAAAAAGAAAATAGTTCAACATGCACATAAAGGCCACCAAAAACAGCTCCTATGCATCCCTTATTTCTGCTTTTAACTCCTTCCCAAGGGCTGGTACACTCAGCCTTTAGCCCTCACCATATTTTAACTGTTTCTTCACATACATCTCTACACTTGTACAACTAAGTTTCTCTGTAAAGAAAAGGAGTCATCAGGATATGACTCTATGATTCCCAGGCAAATGTATCACTCACTTAGATGCTTGCACTGTATTTTTTAGTAAGACATTCCAAGTCATACAAGATCAATCATCTCCTCTCCCAAGAATGTAGGCCTTGCTTTAACAGTAAAGGGAAAACTCAGAACACAAGGTGGAGACTGATAGCCAGRTACAGAGACGTGGCCACAAGACTGTAATTGTTCTTTATTATAGATTCTTAATTATTATATAGTAATGAGGAACCTAAAAAAGCATAAGCTTAAGAGGCAGTGCCAGGAAAATATTCTTTACGCACAGAACCATCACATCCTGCAGAAAAACACACTAGACTAGAGCCTTGCTGCAGGAGAACAGTCCAGATTCACAGTTAAGTACAAGTTTAGAGCCAAATTCTGCCAGTTGTTTGGGTTGAGTAATAAAGAGACACACACAGAGGGAGTGCAACAAACTGCAGAGACAGTCTATGTGCAGACCCAAGCTACCTGCTTACGGCTCTAGCCATTTTAAAGTTGCTGYGTAAGATGTTGGTTGGTGCTCTTACCATTTTACCCCTCTGCTGAGCTGATCTGGTTTCACGGAGGCTGAACACATTTCCGCACACAGATATCTCTCTCCACACCCCTGGCTTGGAGTCTTCAGTGAATCCGTTGCGGGGATGCATAACAAGAACTCCGTTTGTGGTCAGGCCATCCATCTGCCCATCTGATGTCTTCCACTTTGCAGCTTTCTCCTAAGAGAAATGACATCCATGAAGATTTCAACTTGTCTGAAGTTGAATTACAAAATAACTGAAGACTGAACCTGTATCAGCCTGGAAGAAGAAAATGTTCTCTTACCCCAAGGAAGATGTTTTTGGAGGAGTCAAATCCTGCAGCATATATTCTGGCTGTAAAAGGAGGGTTCCGCTCACATATGATTCTGCAGGCAAACCTTGATATAGTGCTCTGCACAGACTGTGTATCTGAATTGCTCTGACTTCCAGGAACTGTATCCGTCACGACAAAGTCTATAGGACTCTCTGTTGACCGACCAATCTGGCAAGGAGTAAAGCCACAGTGTTAAAAAAATCACTTTTGGTGTAGAAACACTCAAAGAAAAAAAATAAGTGACCAAGAGGGAAAAGAAAAAAACCAAAAAGAAAAACACACACAAGACAAGACATCACACTTCGACACATCCTCCCCTATAAATTTGGGAGTTTGAAGCTTCATTTGAATTGATGAGTTATTCCACCTCCATTTGACCAAAGTTACTGTGACGCCTAAGTACCACCAACTGAAGGGAGGAGAAACAAGAGATAAATAAGCCAAATTCAAAAGGATTTTTCACTGAAAGTTAGAAAGGTTTGACTCGGGTCAGCTGCGGTGGCTGCAGCAATGCCAAAACAGCCAGAAAACAGTAGTCAGATGGAAGAGAAGTGGTGCTCAGTGACTTCGCAAGCCCAGAATACTCTAAACAATGCCAGACTAGAGGGATGCACAGAGGTAGAGGACTGCCCACACCATGTCCACTGCCTCCCTGCCTCCAGCAGGGCTGGAAAGTTGTTCCTCTGCCAGAAAAGACCAGGTACTGGATGTCTGTGGCACAGAGTTTTACCTGAGTTTTGCAGTCCCATACAGCTCTACCAGTTTTAATGGACTTGCATGGAATCATATCATCCAAGCATAATGGGCATTTTATCCTTAGCCAGTACAGGAGATCCTAAGTCCAAATGCTTTTTGATAGAGGTTGGAGAGCTTTCAGGGAGGCTGAAACTGSGTTGGCAGAAGGTGTTTTGCTCCTCTTTCCTCGGCAGGATAATCATCGRTACCCCGGGGCTGCTATTGGCAGTTTGAGGCGCGCGCACGCCGCAGCACGCCTGCGGAAAGAACRGCTCCAGCACAAACAGCAGCTTGCGCTGTGGTTAGCTTGCTGCAGCCCTTGCGCGCTGCTGTAGGTAGGTAAGGAGCAGGGCAGCTTCCTCGACCACACACTAACATCCTCCCACCCAAGAGCCTGCAATGTCGTCACAGATAAACGCTGTGACAGCAAAATCTCTTCTCATAAATGAGCAACAACAACAAAATCAATGCCAGGTATCAGAATCAACAACTTGCTTAACCTCCCCCCCAAAATAAAACTCTTCCTTTTGAGAAAAAAACAGGAAACAATTACAAGATATGAGTGTACAGCACAGCTGCAAACGTGTTTGCGGTTCCTTGTCACAAGCACAGGAACTGCAGAGTTCTCATTCAACAGCATATCAGAACGGGGCCTCCTCTTTCAACACTTCCCAGCACTTCAGACATTTTAAAGATTCGGTGCCTATTTTTCGTATTAGTTGTGAKAAAAGCTGTTTTCTAAAACCACTTTGCAGTTCTACCCCACCTCCTACTCACTGACTCCAAATGCCTTCATAAGCACTTGTAACTTGGACTCCAGCATTTAAGTGTACTGTGCAATTTACTCCTCATTTTGCAAGAAGGGAATAGAGACAGGTTAAGTGACTTGCACGGTAGCAATCAAAGGCAGAACCATAATTGTGTGCATTAGTCACAAAAACAACTTTCACCTCTAACCAGAGGAGCCTAAAGGAGATGCATTGATATAGAGTTTTACTCATGTAATGGCCTTGGGAATTAACAGAATTAAACATCTCTGAATAATAAAGTGCAGAAAGTGACATTTGCTACAAATCTTCAAGTGGCAAATCTTGAGGTCTCAGGATCTCAAGGACCTCAGATCAAGAGGATGTCAACAAATTAGCATGGAGAATACATTTATATAATACTGTTTACTTCCCATACCTGGAACATATCTGTGTTGCTGTCATGGGTATATTCAACCACTACTGTCTGGGCCCGAGACAAGGTGTAAGAGATGCTGTGTTGGTCCTTGTTACTTATTGCCTGTGGAGAAACACCAGGTATTACTGAACACATGAACAACAAGTATGTTAAACAGAGCAGCAAAGCAGACAACATAACCAGGCTCTCGCTACGCTCTATTAATGCATTAAGTCAGATGCTTGTTAGTGACACACCTGCAGTTAAAACTTCACAAAAACCAGTCCTGCCCATGAAAGAAAGCTGCAGGATTGATTCAGCAACAGACCAAACTGGTCTCTTTACCACACGCTGCAACAAAACACGTGTAACCGAGACAGATATTAGTCATGCTTAGCATTAAGGCAGTGTTTGCTTCAACACAAAACACGAACAGAACAACTGAAACCAAATGCAACCACCTTGGTGGCCTTGTTGGCCTCAGCGCCTGCAATAACAAAATGAGGACCAAAACTTTATAATATAGACTTCCTTCTAGAGAAGGGATCTGAACTATTACTAAAATACAGCCATGGTTTATAAGCTATGTGGACAAAACTTAACAASCACTGCCAGAGAAACAGGGGAAAAAAACAAACTTTGGGTGAAGAAAAGAGCAATTTTAAATTTCAGTTTATTAGCCTAGATTTTAATTCTGGAGGTTTGTGCTGTACTTCAAATGGGAAAACCACACAGGAAACTACTTGCTAGTAATCAAGTAAAACTTCTATTATAAAAYGCTTCTAAAAAGCACTTGTCACTTGTAGGCCTAAAGAATTAGCAAAAATAATTGCTTTTTACAGAACTCCTAAAAATGTAACTGTCACAGTAACTTCAGGGAGCTACAGTCTTTTAATTTCAGAAGATTTTATGCCATTCTTTAGTTTTTAAGAATCAATATTCCTAAATGTCAAGGTATTTAGAGAGTCAAAGACCTAGCACCATGGTATTTGTTCAAGGATCCGATCTCAATCATGCTAAAGAGCTCTAAATAACCCTTAAGCACTCTCAAATTCCAATAGTTTTAGCGAGGGTATTTTGGTAGCAACACTCCATTTCCATGCCCATGGATCACCACAACCCAGCAGGAATTATTTTCTGGAGAAGGAACTCTCAGGGAGCTCCCACCCACTTCAGTTCACGCAGAGCTTTGGCGCAGGACCATTCAAAAGTCAGTTGCACATGAATAAAAACAGCGTGAATGAGTCAAAACAGGAAGTCTAAAATACTTTATTTGCAGTGAGTTTGGAAGAAGAATAAAATAGAAAGTGTTTTGCATGACTAGCCTACGTCCTGAACATTCACATGTTAGAAATAAACATCCTTTCTTTCTGGACACAACAAGGACTGGGCACCAGACTTGTTTTAGCAAATCATTTCTTCTAACACTGGTAAGCGTAAAAATCTGGTGTGTATATCTATCTATCTATATATATATAAACTCATATATATATATATATATTTATATATCAACCTTTCTTTTCACAGCCATAAGGGCTTGCTGCTTCTTAAATCATTTCATCCCTGCATAATAGTGGTGATTTCACTACATTCTTTAAGGTGCACTAGAAACTAGACTTAACTAGACAAGTCAAGCTTACCTTTGCTGCTTGAGGGGTACAGGCAATATGCACAGTGCTAGGCTTCACCCCGTTTGCCTTGGGTCTTTTAAATAAAGCAAATCTACTTTTTCTTCTTCCTCTATCTCCATTTGGGAGAGACCCATTGTACCTATGAAAAGGATATAAAAAAAATGAAATCCATCTTCAAATAGACTTCACTGTGAGTCTGTAGCTTCTCATGAGCTGCAAAAAGTTCTGTTTGAAGCACAAAGCTTCCTTAATTAGAATGCTATTGAAAAATTAGATTTCCAATTACATTTAAATCTGAGAAGTGGCAAACACAGTATTGGAACATGCCCAGAGAATTATTGCATGCACCCAAAGTTGCAGGACAGGCAGTGATACCCAAGTGAATCTCAAGGCTACTGTGAGCAAGCAGAAGAGACTCAGGTCCTGAGCATGAAACAAGTAAGTCAATATATTTACTTGTAGCTTTAAGTTATTAATTCACACCATAAATGAATGATTCCAAACACTCCCCAAGCCTGCTGAAGAGCTATTATTTCAAAGAATTTTGATTGAAATAAAACCCTGGGAGAAATACACAGGGTTTCCTCTGAAATATTAACTYAATCCAGCAGCAAACCTTCATTCCGAGCATGCCAACGTAACCAGGCCATGTCACCTACTAGGCTTTATAACATTCCTCTGCTTGCACTTTGGTGTTAGCACTACTTACCGCGTCTTCATAAAACTCCTTTCATTTTCAACTTCTAGAGATCCCCTTTCTACATCACCCCCCGAGCCAATTAGTGATTTCTGAAATCATTTTGGAAACGCCTCATAAATTGGCTGCCTTCACCATGAAAAACGTAGCTGGGAAGAGCACAGGAGCTGAAAACAAGCCSAAATGCACCCAACAGCTCAGCCCTATCTCCAGGCTCTGTTTGTCAAAGGTCTGCATGGCATGGAGTGGTTCCTCCACTCCATGGACCGAGGACATCACGCATAGCACTGGTCCCTACCAAAATCGGGACACCCTCCCTCTTAAACCTTCGTTTCTCAAGTCACTTACCCCAATACGATCAATTCACCGTATTTCACTGGTGCTTTTGATGGATGATTTTCTTGATCAGGAGAAAACATGGGCTTAGCTAATGACTTCTTCTCAAATGTCAGGTCTCTGATCAAGAGCTGTGGCACGCTTTTTTCATTATTTCCTGTAAAAACAAAGACAAAACAAATTGTAACAGAGAAGACTCACATTATCTGCTAAGCAAATCTCCACACCTATCTTTCAGCTTTCCTGATACAATAGCTACATTTTGTACTTGCTATTTTCTCACGCTTTGACTCTTCCTGAACTCATTAAGAACACCATGTATAAAAACATGATAATTTAGTGTGCATTGCCCGGAACAACACAAGCACAAAAACATACAAGTGCATTTAAAAAACCTCAAATAATCTCGACGGAACAGCCACACTTATTTTCATTCATGCTAATTGTTCAGTATAAATGGTATGCAGCTTAATTCAGTATGTTGGTGTCATTACTGAGAGACGGACAGAGGGATCAGATTTAATGGAATAAAAAACCACCACAAATCAGTTCATAAGCCCAAGAGACAGAACATTTTCTGTGAAACTATCTGATTAAAAGCCTTYAAAGTTCTGGACCTGCAGACTGCAGAAAGTTATATGGCAACTTGATATTGAGCCTATCATACAAGTTGGCTTAAGCACAGACAAAAAGAACTTGGAATCAGATTTCCAATGAAAATTCTGATTAAAAAAGTTGTTTCAGTACTGGTTTGACAGGAACTGTTYGGGGTCTTTTCCAAGTGATCTCATAAAGACAGAGCGAATGCAGAAAAAAAGAAGTGAGAACGGTCTCTCRACACCCAATTTTTGTAGTATTTTTGGTTTAAGGAACCATTCACACTAGAAGTCTTCACAGCTCTTGTACCAATTCCTCCTTAGTAACCTTTCCAAWCCCAGCTCTGACCCTGCCATAGAGGAAAACTACCAACACTGCACTTCATCAATACAGGCTGAAGCTGATACAGTTTGTTTGAAGCTTTCCTTTAACAGGACAATCCCACGTTTCTTCCAACTCCAAAAGCTATTAAATGTTTTTATTCATCATTTTCAGTATTAACCATTAGTGTCTGCTGCTTTCTGTTCAAATAAATACACTGGTGCCCATGGTATTTCTTACAGCTTGTCAATTTAAACATCTTACCATCTTCTCCAACCTCATCAAGGCCTTAGGTATTAGCAGAAATTATATCATGCAGATTTTCTCCATGTACATCTCCTGTTTTAATGACAGAGAAAATGTGCTAGTTCTTGACAAAAGCAATCTTACCTCGCTTACACTCATTCAGGAGTTGATCCAAATGACACTTTTCCAGACCCAATCTCTCCTCTCCTTCATCTCAGAGGAGCTACGGCTTCAGCATCTGGGATACTCAACTGAAGCCTGCATTTAGCAGGTGCACAAAATGCCTTATACTGATAATATTGTCCCCAAGTGTTGCTCAGGAATAGCAGCAAGAGCACAGAAGAGTATGAATGGGTAGTTTGCTCTGAAGCATTCCTAGACCACTGCTTTATATGTAGCAGTGACTTAACTCAGGTGGGTCAAGGTACTTACTCTTGCAGGTGGGCTAAAGGTTTTACAAGGCAAGTGGCAACTCCCAAGTCCCTTAATATAAAGCCAGCTTATTACCGCAGCTCAGCAAGTTTTCCCTTTAAACTTCTACAATGAAAAATTTCAAGGCAGTTTATCAGATGAAACTTGGGTTGTGAAACTCCTACTCATCCCAGTAGTCATAACACATCAAAGGGGAGATGGGCCCCCTGATAGAGGGAGCCCCGGGACATGACTGGTGCTTGCAGACACCTCTCCCCTTGCTGCCCCCCACTAMCTGGGGGCTTCTTAGCTTCTTCGCTCCACAAGAGCAGCCCCCAAAGCCAGGTACATGCTAGCAAAGACAGACACTAAAGGTCCGTATTCTGGCAGTGACGGCCGAGGATGGAGCACTGAGTGGTTAAGGAAGCTTCTTTAGCAAGATCTCCTCTGCCTACAAGCATCACGATGTATTTCTCATGTCTAGAAAGCTATTTCCCCAACCAACTCGAGCATTTCTTGCTTTGATTTGTTTTCAATTGTCCTCGCCAGTGTGTACTAGCAAAACCAGGAAAAAACTGCATCTATATGGAGTTGCTTACATGCAGTCTTGAAGAACCCCCCTGCTGTTTTAACCTCCTTCCCAAACGATGAAACTGTTTCTACTTGCATATTGATCTCAGCTAGGGCATGCCACACGCACCACCTACTCTTTCCTGCCTACCGCAAGCAAGGGCTCTCCTTTGACCTCACACCTAACCACTGACGGGAAACCCTGCAACGGGACAGCGCGGGACTCTAAACCTCAGCACCGGGGTTAAAGAGAGAGAAAGATTTAAGCAACATCCACCCTTCCTCATGGTGTTCAAGAAAGGGAGCACTCCCTTCAAGCGGGTGGCGAGACAAAGCATTAAAATAACTTAGTATTTGCCATTAGCATGAGAAAGGTCTGTCACAACCTCCCCTCTGTTCACCTAGAGAATAAATTTCATTGAAAGCCAAAAAGATAAATCTCCTCGTCACAGAGTCAGATTCTAAGTCTCATTAGGAGTAATTACAGGCAAACAATTAGGGGACACTCCTTTAACAAATTACCCACACAGGCGGCCRCTGCCTTCTCCAAGGGGCACAGCTGAGCAGAAACCAAAGAAGGAGCCATGAGACTTGCACGACACTTCACTGGTGCTAACAGTTCACCAGAAACAAATTAATTCAAGAAAGAGCTGCTACTGCTCAGCTCCTCTGCAACACCTTTTTGCTGCTCTTTCATAATTGGAGAAATGCAGTCAAGTTTATTTYGGGAGCCAGCACAAATGGAAACGCACTTATTTCACCCGAGGAAGCCTCAAGAGTAAGAAATCTACAGCTATCATTGGTAGTAAACCCTGCTTTGCCCTCAGAAGCAGGCCTTGGATAGTCCAACTTGTTCTTCGTGTGCCTCAGAGCCTTGGTGCTGCACATACCACCTTCGCAGAGGGGAACGCCTATACCTTGAACTCAAACACATCCAGAATTCAGAGCACCGACCAAATTCCGTGCATCAGATATGCTGCTTCTCACACTCCTGATCCGCTTGATGTATTACACCCCAAGGGAAAGCTCACTTCGGTTTGTCCCAAAAACTAGTCCAGCGGAAACCTGATGCCAGTGAATAGAACTCAAACGATCTTCCATGCAGAGAAGTACGGCACAGGATAACATCTCCACCTCTGAGCTAGAGTGGGCTTAGACTCCTTTAAAGCTAGACAAAAAAACCAAGAATTTACAAAAGGGAATTCTCTTGAGATGTGAGGAAAGACACACTGCAGTCACTCTACTCTTGTTGGCTGAGAAAAATCTGTCCATGTAGTACTCTTATTTTTAAGAGCGCTGAAAACTCCTTAAGGAGTTTGGAAGGGCTATTTCAGTAAGTTGAAGCACTGAACGTGGCATTGCAAGGCCAGGGGAGAACTAGGCGACTGACTGCTAGAACAAAATGTGGGCAAGTTAACTTTCTGTCGTGACTATTAATTTTGTAGCAGCAGCTCAGACCACAGCTGGACCGGGCTTCATTGAAGCCGGCTCTAAACACCACAGACTGCTCCGGAACTCCTTTGAGGCTCTTTTCATCACTGATGAGGAATAAGGTAATTACAACATCCCAGCCTTGTCCTACATTCTTCCAAAATCACTCAACTTGCTGCAGCAGATGGAATTTTCACCTCAAGAGCTCTGCTTCTTGGTTGGAGAAGGCAGCACAAAGCCTGAAAGCCCCTGTCTGTGCAGAGTCCTGCGTTCCTTTGGAGAGCAAAGCAACCTGCAAAGAGAACAGTTTCCAAAAGCCACTACTGCATTCGTTAGAGGTACTGCTCAGTGAGCACGGCTGCCTGCAGTTAACACACACTATGATAGGCACTAATTAGCCTCCTTGGATTGCAAAATAGGAAGCTGGAATACAAAGAGAAAGTGAACAAGTAACACCTTTTTACCCTGAAAACTCCTTCCTTTGGAGCCACGGAGAAAAACAATGGAATGGAAATGGATACCATCTAAACTGAAAAAAGGRATGTTAAATTCACTTAAGAAGGGCAACATGAGTTTCTTACAAGCCTTTTTTCTTCTTCTTAAATAGTCCATTGGGTCACAAAAAGCAAAGACTGCTACAGCAGAAGGCCAACCACATTCCCTACTGCCTTGAGTAGGAACAGCCATACAGATCACTGCCCTCTCTGCCATCACGCCCMAACCGCTGGATTTGGGGGCTCTGCTTTCTGGGAAGAGCTGGCAAACCACATATTGTTACAGCCTGCAGTAGAAAAAGGGCTAACACTCACTGCTTAACGTTTGTGCTCAATCATTCAACTATCTCTGCTGATAAGAGGCAGCATTTACACTTAAGCTCTTGTGGTTTCTATGGAGAGTCTTTAGATCTCACTGGGGCACAGCACCTCGCGGCATTAGTAAGTCGGCAGCTTTCAGAAATGCAACTAGAAGAGCAGTATCGGAAGGGTTAAAATGGTGCAGGGGGAAGGGAACCTTAAATTCAATGAGCTCAAGCAGAGATTCATTAAACACTACTGTGCGCTAAAAATACTAGAATAAAAGTCTCTTTGTAATAAATTACCATCATTTTCTAAACACAGAGCCAGCATTATAGGCTGTTAGCAACTGCAGCTAGCGCCAGACTAGCCCTTTTCTAAAATACTGCATTAAAAACCACTTCCACAGTATAAAAAGAAGTCCTCTGTCAATGAGTAAGTTAAAATATGCTGATTCAAATGCAGAAAACGTGCATTTCCCCATTTTTATATAATAATCTGCTGTATGTTCTATAGCTGTGTATTCCAAGGCTTGGGGGTTTTTTTGGTTTATACGAAAAAGCGTAATACAGCTCCTCTTTCTTGGAGTACAATTTGCTATTTGCCGTTCTCTGTTTATAGCCCTTGCAGTTCTCACGTGCAGCTCCCTCGCTCRGTGAGTCTGTATTAGCTCCAGGGGGGTACAGACAAAACGGACCCCCACTCTTGTCCGAGATAGGGARTGACAGGGCACGAGGCAACAGAAACTGCAACACAAAACTCCRAGTAGCTGCTAGGAAAGCAAAAT